CCATCAAAGAATTCATTGCCAGATCTGAACTCAAGAAGATTTACCCCTAAGTTTTCTTCTAAGTGTTTTATTGTTTTTACTCTTACATTTAGATCATCAGTCCATTCTGAATTATTCTTTGTATATGGTATGAGATAGGGGAGTCTAACTTCATTGTTTTGCCTGTGGATATCTAGTTTTCCCACTGTCATTTGTTGAAAAGCCTGCTCTTTCCTCAGCAAGGGATTTTGGCATTCTTAATGAAAATCAGTTGGCCACAGATGTATGGGAGCCAGGCACTTTTAACTGTGAGAACTTTGGCAAATCACTTGTACTTTTACTTTCTTACCTATAAAATTGGGACAGTCACCTCTTTATCTCAGTGGTCTTGTCTGGATTAAATGAGATCACATACGGGAGGATCATAGTATCTGGCACAATGAATGTAAAGTTGGGCCTTGCTACAAGAAAGAGTATCAGAGTAAACAGTATGACATCCATTGCCTCCATTCCTTTTTCTTCTGTCTCCAGGGTGCAGGAGACCTGAGACAGAAATATCTATTTTTACCTCAGCTATTTGCCCAGTGTATACTTATATTGAACTGGAAGTCAATACTAGCCCCCGGCAGCTTTGGGCTAAGAAGGGAGTTAGGGTGATTGATCTAGATTACCAATGGGAGATTGGACTATTCTCCACAATGGAGGGAAGGAAGAATATGCCTAGACTGCAGGAGATCCCCTAGGCATCTCTTGGTATGACCATGTCCTATTATTAAGGTTACTTGGGAACTATAATAACCCAATCCAGGTAGGACCAAGGTGTAGGTTACCCTCCAGGTAAGTAACCAAGACCTGCTGAGGTGCTTACTGAAGGCAGGGTGTGTGTGTGTGTGTGTGTGTGTGTGTGTGTGTGTGTGTGTCTGGAGGAGATGGGCCAGTAGGGGCATGCCCTAGAAGGGTGCATCCGCCCTGCAGCCCCCTCTCTTTCTTTCTCTCTCCTCACCCCCCCCCTTTCCCTCCTTACTGCCATGAGGGGAGCTGCTTTCCTCTGCTGGGCCCTTCCCCCATGATGTGCTGCCGCACCTTGGGCCTAGAGCAATGGAGTTGACTGTTTATGAACTGAGACCTCTGAAACAGTGAGCCAAAATAAACTTTTCCTCTTCTAAGTTGTTTTTGTTGAGTATTTTGGTTGCAAAAGCTGACTAAAACACCCCTGGACAAAGATGGCGAGAGGAAGCACTTACATAGAAATGCAGGCAAGCAAAGAAAGTAGTGATCACTCTTTGGTAACTGATCCAATAATTCAGCAAACATTTGCCTCATCCTGACTTTGTGCAAAAATATCTGCTAGGTTTTGGAGATACATATGCAAAAGGCCACCCCCTGCCCTCCCATAGCTCAGGCTAGAGGTAGATTGTTAAATAGGCACTTAGAAAACAGTGTGATATGTTCTAGATAGACTCAAGCAAAGAGGCTTCTGAGAGTGTTGGAGAAGATGATTTTAGCCAGAGGATTCAGAGAAGGCTTCTGGGGGAAAAGGGACACTTGATCCGGGTATTAAATGACTTATGGGCAGGAATATGCAAGGTGGATAAGAGGGGACAGTGTTAGCACAGGAGGCCTCAGATACACAGTTTTGAAGACAAGAATATAAGTTCTGGTTTCTAAGAGATGAAAACTATTCCCGGGTGCTTGGAACATAGATTGAGTTGAGGGTAGGTTAGAAAACGTAGATGGCTATTGGAAGCCATTGGTACGGTACAGGGAAGTACTATGGTGAGATATATGTTTTGGAGATCAATAGGGAGACCAGAGTGTAAAATGGATAATTAATAGTAGAAAGAGGGGGAGAGAGGCAGTGAGAAGAATCAGGATAAATGTGAGGATGGAGAGGAGGGGGAGTGTTAGGTGGATTATGACAAATCAGATTTGGGAGTGTGGGAGAGAAGGAGCCTAGGATATAACTTTCAGATTACTGACTTGAGGGACTTGGTCAGGGGGCCATTCAACCGGAAAGGAACACAGGTGTGAGGACAAAGTAAGAGAAGAAAAAATGGTATTTAATTTGGCAGGTGAATCCAGATGGCGTTATCCAATAGACAGACTGTCTTTGAGACTAGAATATAAAACAGTTTGAGCTGGAACATGGGTGAGTATGAAAAGCACACATTTTTGTCTAAAGTGAGAAGTGGGTTTCATTTTGCTTTGTTTTGTTCTTGACAATTAAAATGTTAATGAACTTAATTTTAATACTAAAAATACAAAGAAAAAATGTAGCCCATAATTCCACTGTTCAAACAACCCCTGCTGGAAGGGAAGGAGGATAGTATGTATTGTTAGAAAACACAAGCTATTTAGAAAAAGTTTAAGAAAGGAAAAGTTCAGGTCTTGCTCCATCCTTAATCATTGTAAACAATTTCCTGTGTTTAAGAAAATCAAATTTCTGCTCAATCCCATATATCCCCACAGGGACCCTGCCTTATACTGTGTTTAAGAGGTTTATTGTATTGAACATATTAACCTTCTCATTGCTTTGCTGGGCTTCACAAGCCATCTGTATTGGTAGGATGGACCTGTGAGTTTGCTTAGGGAAAGGCAGGTGGTGGGCTGGCCCAGGGTAGGTGTGCAGTACAATATAACTGAATGAACTGTTGCTGCATTTTGAAATTTGGAGAGTCTCTGCCTGCAAGTCCAGTTGGTTAAGTGACTCATTCAGTAAATGTTTCCAGAGTCCAGACTAAATGTTCAGTGGTGTGTGTGTGTGTGTGTGTGTGTATGTTGGGGGTGGGAGGACAGAGGACTCAGCTCCTGGCCTCACTGAAGGGCAGAACTGAAAAGATCAAAGATCTTCCAACCTTCTTACTTTTTGAGGGGAAACTAAGAACTAGTATGAGGTTATGATTTGGCTAAAGCCACATGAACTGTTGGCAGTAGAGCCAGTACTGGTACCTCAGAAGAAAGAAAGAGCTAGAGAGTGCTACTGGTTAGTGGTTAGTGAGCTACTCTTGCTTCTTTCTACCTCTTTTCTCCTCCTGCCATAAAAAGTAGCAGCAATTCCCAGCTCCAAATCCTTAGACAGGCAAAATCCTGGAGATGCCTCATGCAGCCCTTGTTCCTATAAGAGGCAACATGAGTGGTATAGCACTGGACTGGGAGTCAGGAAGCCTCCTGGACTTTGATGCTCATTCTGCCATACCCTACCACGATGCTGCCAGCCAGGCACACATCATCCCTCCTTTAAATGTAGGGGTGAGTGTAACTAAAACTCCAAGGTTGTTCTTACCATTATTCCTCTTTGTAGGCCACTATGTTTAATAAATTACAGGAAATTAAATCTTATGATTTTTGGTTCTAACATCCTGGTTTTCAAGATTCTGGGAATGCTGCTTGGTGTGTCTCATTCTATGCAGAAGCCTATGCTGTAAATCTCACTTTTGCAGTAGTAAGAAGCTTCACATCCATTTTTCAATTTGAGACCAAGGACAAAGAGACCAGACCCCAAAAGAGTGCCAAGTC